CCCAGAATTCTAGCCCTGTAACCTCAAATATCTGGTTCCCTAAATAAAAATAAAAAAAACAGAATACAATCTAGTGCTCAATTTCACTTCCTATACACAGGATGTCCAAAAGTGAATGGAAATCTCTCTTCCTTTTCTAAAATACATTGTTAGCTAGGAGAAAATCTTCTTAGCATTCCACAATAAATGAAATCTGATTTTCCAAAAATAAAGGACAGCAAGCTCTCTATAACAAAATTCAAATTACTTAACCAAAATCACAATTTTGGCTTTCCAAGACTCCAAAAACAGAATAAAGTCCCCTAATCAGGTACACTTCTCCTCTCTTCTATTCCTTCCCTGTCTCTCTCTCCTATCAATTTATGATTAACCAGAGTAATTCCCCAGAAGACCCCCTTTGATCATCTGTGTTTACTGTCCTGTAAGCCTAGCTGCAACAGAGTAAAAAGCTCAACTCTACAGCTTGAACAATAACATTCAACACATTTTTAGGTCTCACATAATTGATCATTTAAAGCTTACTTTAAAATGGTATAGACTGGTTGTCTAAAATTAGACCCCCATTGTACAAAACACTTGTTGTATTGGATATGTATTTCTCTTTCCTTAACAATTCAATTGGTTTCATTGTTAAATTGTCACACTTAACTTGAATTATCTTTGATTCGTACCTGTTTACAAAAGGTCCCTGTATTAAGTAAGCCTGTGTTTTTATACTGAGCACTAAGGCAGAAGACTAACTTTTTCATTTGATAGTGTACTGTATTAGAAATGTATTCACTTTGGTATGCCTGGAATAGCAGTGGTGAGAATTTGTCGAAACATCGTTTTCATCTGAAAGAAACGCATTTTTGCAACCTTTGGCATCCCCCTGTAACTGCTGTGGCCAGAAGTGCGTACCAAGTCAGATCTCAGCAGCAGTGGTGTTGCTGTATGGGCAACAATGTATATGCTATATTTTTTCAAGCATACACTTCTGTAAAAGAAATCATGAGACATATGTTTTCTACTTCCTCCTCTGCTATCTGATTAAAAGAAAAGTTGTTCCTACTTTACAATTAATAAAGTACTATAATAGCTTCATTGATCCATCTCTGACCATCTCTGATTCTTTGAATGTAACTGTGGTAACAGGGTTGTTTTGTGTGGGGAACCTGTCTTACACCTGTCTGTGGTATCTAGATTTATTGGTTGATAAAAGTTACTAGAGACATCAAACATGAAAAGTGAGTAATGTACACATTTGAACATCTGAGGTGAGCAAAGACAGCTGCTCTGTTACAATAAACCTTGTTCTTCTTGTTTCATGATCAAGACACCTACCAAGTAACAGAAGACAAAGTAAGCACCATATTCTGCAATGAATCAAGACAAAAAAATGGCTGTATTGTACGTCAAATATAACTGAACTTCACTATTACAGTAGAAAAGAAAAAACAAAAGAAAGGTAGTGACACTCTGAAATGTGTCAGATTTCCAGACTCTTATACAGTATTTGTGTAACGGAAAAGCATGGACAGTGCAAGCTTGTATCTGACATTACAAAACAAATTACAAATAATCTTAATAACAGCACTTTCTCAGTGAAAAAAAAGAGCAGATGAGTGTGCTTGTTTAATCATAGCAAAGTAAGACTTTATGTTTGAAGTCTGAAACTAAAACAAACTAGTTTGTCACAGAAAAGACTATAAAAAACACATATACATTTATCTTAGTGGGACAACTTTCTCTGAATATAGGTTGCAATAATGTTAATATACCTACTATTGTGAAAGTGCAGTTACAATAGACAATGTAAACATAAAGTAAACCATAAATTGAAGGAGGGTATACTGTTACTGTTGCGATATTACAAAGAAATGAAGTCAGATGCACAATATATTAAAACCTAAAGTCTTTACTGGAATCTGAGGACATTTTTCTGTAGTGTTTATTTGATATTTTTCTGTAGATTTCATTTTAATTTTTTGGGGTTTTGTTGTCAGAAGAAGAGCAGGAAAAGATAATACATTACCTCTCAAAATAGCACAGTGGGAAAAATACACCAAATACAAATACATTTTGGTAATACTGCATTCCCTATCTTCAGAATCAACACCTTCATGTATGCAGAATTCAAAGTGGATATTTACATTGTTTTTAATTTAGATTTATTTGCCTGCCACCCAGAATTTCACAACTTGTCAGCATTCTCATGTACTTATCAGTTTAACAATCAGTTGCTGAAAGAATTTGCCTGAGGTCAGTTTTGCATGGGAGTATCTTAAAACTCCCCAGGTGATATACAACATAATAAGAAGTCAGACTAGATTTTCAATACAATGTATGAAGCCATGTAAGTCCTTAAAATGCAGACCTGAACTAACAATACAAACCTGTTTAAAGCAGGCTAGTGTACAGTATATGAAGTCACATGATAATGTCTCTGAATCCAGCAGTTCTTTTCAAAGATTCTTTTCAAAGACAACAACACTTTTGTTGCCTTTTTTCTTATTTTTCACAGCTGTGGATTCATATTTTTCTCTAGACTCTACCAAAATTATTAGCACAACAGGCAAAATAAAAACAGCTGTTTATAACTCTATTTATAACTCATTAATGTAATGGAATACCCTGCGGGTGCATTCTTAACAGCTGCTTCCATCTGTAAAGGGAAACTTAGGTTTGCACAGGAATGCTTTCATTTCAGAGCACAGCTTCTAGCGGAGTAAGAGAATAGAAGAGTGCAAAGTCTTCTCTGCACTTCATCCCTGCAGTGATTTCCAGTGCTACTGCTTTTGAGCTATTGTACTTAACTACACTTTCAGTTTTTTTTTCATAATGTTAATAGCTATGCTCTATCACACACCTTCTCTCACATTGACAACATGCAGTTGTCCAGCCCATCACAGTTTATACTGTACTCTTAGCCATAGTGCATCTGACACAAAACACAAGACTTCAGTGCGACCAGCACTATCTCATGTATCTCCACCATGAACAGCCAAAAAGGACCTGCAGATCAAGGAGTTCTCAATGGGTTGCCATTAAATTAAATTTTCTCTCCCATCAGAAGCGCATTGTTTGTACTTGTAGAGAGATTCATGACTCCACTGTGGTCATTTCCACATTGGATCAGTGGTGTGCGGACAGGTGCTCAGTCATAAAATCCTGTGCAACCGTTCTACAACGTCATGTGCAGTTCAAATGCTATAATACCCACAGTGGACTTCTTCACTATTATACAAGCGATCAAATTGCAAAGCTATGAAATGACAACTGCCTTTTACTCAAAAAAACATTACAGAGCAATGTCAGCACTGATCCATACTGACAGGATCTAGCCGCAACAGGAAGCAGATTGTCTTTATATTGTACTATGCAACTACATGTACACACTCGTTTCACAGAATGCGGCCTCAGGTACAATCCCTTACTAGCGCAAGGATAAAAATTGATTTATCTGTTGGAATTATAAACTAATGGATTGTAAAAAAACAACTTTATTTGAAAATTAAATTTAATAATGGCAGTTCGCAGACTGCATAACTACCAGCCTGTCAGAACTTGAGCTACAGTAGCTGAAACAAAAGAGAAAAGTGACAAACTGGATTAGTTGAATAGTTTGAGACATGATCACTCTCAGATGTGAGTCTCTGACACTGGTGTCCCTAATCACCTTACCACAATCTACTGAAATATCACAACATAGTATTTCCCCTCACCAGCTGCCATATCACCCTGCAGCTCTAAACTGGCTACCTACTGGCCCTAATGTTTGGCTGCGGTAGACTTGCACCCTGTCCAGGATGTACCCTGCCTTGTGCTCGTTGCTTCCCGGGTAGGCTCCGGCTTCCCGCGACACCATATGGTATAAAGCAGCTTGGCAAATTACATGACAGTATTTCTCCTCCAACAGCTACAGTGACTTGCTATACCTTCAAGTACTATAAATGCACTGCAGTGCAGGATTATTTACATGACTTTTTATGCAGGCTCATACTGCTAATTATGCTGTCAACTGCAATTTTAAAAACAAAAAAACAGTAAAAAAATAATACAGTACACCAGAAGTCAATGATCACTACATTGCAATGTAGTTAAGTAAGTGTATCTTGTCTCCTCAGCATATTTCACATGGCAGGTCTGATCGGCTTTATGAAAATACACTTAATCTAAATACATATTTTCAACAGACATGCTACTTTGTGTTTAGCAGCTAGAGCAACACAGATGAACTGGGACAGTGGCCTCTTTAAATTGACTAAGAAACAGTTCTTTAAATGCCCGAAACCACAGATGAATGTTTAACTAAACAATTCTAATGAAGTCATATTAGTTTATTAAGCAATTCTGAAATTCTGGGCAAAGCAGTAGGTTTACAGTAACTGGCCTTGCCTTGATTACAAACATAACTTAAACTATAACTATAATACTAGAATTTAAACTACTACTACTGGTACAGTAAGTATTGTGTACTGGTATAACCTGAGGCCAAATGATAAATAACCTTAAAGCCTTGATAAAGTAAGCTCAAATTTGCTTAAAGTAAAACAAAAATCAAATTTTGTATTCTGCAGTTTCTATACAGTTTGGCATCATTAGCAACTGAATGACAGAAACTATTTACACATGATTGTAGTGCATTGACAGATTGACCAAAGAAACATCTCACTATGTCTGACAGTTATTAATTCTGTCATACATCCCCCATCATGAATCCATAATTCTACCAGGACGAAATGTATTACATTAAATTTATTGTTTAAGTGTTTTAATATATGCTACAAAGAATATTAGCATCTTTATTAAAAACACTTTTGTAATCATTAACACATTTTCATAAAGATTTGAAAAAAAATCATTGGTCATGATTAAAAATTCATAACCGGTCATTACAGCTACTGCCTTTCGTTGTTAGTGTTGCGCAGATCTTCTTGTGTATGACATTTATTTGAGTAAGCATGGATTAAAAAGAAGCAATTGAAATGAAGTTTTGCACAGAATTAAGCAAGCCTTACCTGTCAACATAGAACACCCAGGAAACTCCAGGCAGGAAAGTGTTCCCCAAAACATGTGTTCCAGGCAAACAACTAAACTGTACAAAGGTACTGTGAAGTAACTCTCACGATTCCAGTGCCTTCAGAGGACTTTTCTTGTCTTTGCGAGGAGCATGTTAAGATCCCACCACTGATACTCAGTTTGAAAATAAGGAAGTGGGTGAAACTGAAACTACTGACTCCTCCCCTGTGCATACCTACACACACACTCACACACACACACACCCCTGCGTCCTCCCCAGCAACAACATTGGTGAAAAGTAACAGAGGCAGAATGAGCTGAACTGCACCCACACTCAATGTTTGTTTAGAACACGCTCAGGTTAAACTTTCTTGCTGGTGTAGAAGCTCCGGACACACCTATTAAGATCCTGCATGAATCTTCTATAGAATAATGGGAACAGCTTTATACATAAAACAGGTTTTTACAAAACTATAAAAATCTTATATACTGTACAAGTATTGCCAGTTTGTCAAATAACTTCTATTACACACAATTAAATGATTGTCTTTATTGAGTTTCTGTTCATCTGTATGTACGGTAACATGATATTATTTTCTACTGCTATACACAAGTATTTTTTTCGCTTCTCAAAAAGTATGGTTCACATCCTTTTACTCTGAGGTAGTGTTAGAGATACAGTAGACTCTTAAATAAAATTTACAGAAATGTTTCTTTTGTGGGTCTTCAGTGACAGACATTAATAATTATTAATCTTCCCCAACAACAAAAATCAACTCATGGTTTAATATCGATCTTTCTTTAAAAAATAGCAAAAAAGCTATACTTTTTCTAAAAATACATTGTACTATAATGTTTTTAAAAATACCAGTACTTTATAGTAAATAGGTATGTTCCCAAGTGATAAAAACACTTATTATATTGTATTATATATTATATATTTCTCCACATAAAAGTCAAATCAATATATGTTAAAGTTTTACAGTGTCAACCCAAACCATCACTTCCAGCTCAGGTCAAATGTAGGAGCCGAGGACCCTTAGAATGGTTATAAACAAGAGGAGCCCAATATATCCATAATGCTCGGTTGGTTGCTTGTCACTTATTGATTCCAATATTTCACACAGTTCTCTCTTGAAGATTTTAGGAAATCAGCTTATTCTAGAGACCCATCAGCCTCTCTTTAAAGACTATTTCATCAGTGGTGAAATTTAAGTGGAGAGAATTGAAGATGGACAAAAGGATTTTTTTTGCAAAAGAGTTCTAGGATTCTGAGATGAACTGTCAAAGTGCAGAAGTTGGATAGCTGAGATTTTTCAATCAATAAGATAAGCATGGTCGAAGTGCTCTTTTTTATCTGAAAACATAGTACAATTAACCCCTTTACTCTTAACAGAGTTGCGTGAGGGCCAGGCCAGGCTGTCTAGGGGGGCGATGCTCATTTCTGCTTCATAAATGAGGACATGAAGTCAATGGGAATGGGAAACAGGATGGTGGAGTTCCTCTCAGAAGCGATCTCTGACAGAGTCTGCAGGTAGCGAAGCTGCAGGGCAGAAGGAGCCTCAGACATGACTAAGGCAGCTTCCTTCAGTGCACGGGATGCATTCATCTCCCCTTCTGCTGCGATGACCTGCAAGGAGGATCTTTTTAGTTTTTCCCCAGGCCCAATACAGGATGTTGTTTCTATCAGTTTAGTGCCTTTTCATCAATATTATTATAAGGACCTTGACATGAAATAATATCTTGTTTTTGTTTAATTATGGCACTAAAGTAAAGTGGTTTAAGCAATTCAATTCAGTCCCACTCTCTGCGTTTAATGTCAAATTGATACACAATTCCAGTCACTCGTTTAAATTGGGTTTCCTGACTATTGCTGGCTAAAATCTGTATTTTCCCAGCAGCAGAAGCCAGCATCTGTTTTTCATCACACAATTCATCAAGTCTTTCTGAAGAAACGGCATGCCACAGGCATTAGCCCAGAACCTTAAGCGTCATTTACGACACCTCAATAACAATATTTGAGTACACTGACATACTAAGACACTGGTACTGTATTTAACATTAATTATGTTTTGTTTGTATCATTTCTGCCACATCTGCAAATGTTTGAACAGGTAACACTAGTCATTTCTAGTAGTTTTTTCCTAAATATCACCCATGGTAGAGTCAAAACAATAATAAAACTGCAAATTATGAGTGCACATTTTTCTGTGACTTTCATGAGCACAAAACAATAGGACCTGTTTCCTCATACTTTTATTTATACCAATGTTATAACTGTCGTAAATAAATTATTAACATGCTATTAAGGATTTTAAAAACATCATTAGAAAAGAATTCCATATCTCAAAAGCCTACTGTAGTAATAGGTTTTGGATTCAGAGTATGATTCATTTTGTGGTGGGGAGTATGGTTTTTTAACTTACAATTCCACACTTATATTAATTATATTAATACTTCCTCTATTCGTCCAGCTTCTAACCCCTTTATCCAAAACAGGGTCATGGGGGGTCAAAGGGGAGCCGGAGCCTATCCTAGCAAGGAATATACACAAGGCAGAATACACCTTGGACAGGATTCTAGTCCATCACAGGGCAAACACAGACACAAACACACACCAGGGCTAATTTTCTAGATGCCAAATAACCTACCAGTATGTATTTGGACTTGTGGGAGGACACCAGAGCACCATGCAAACATGGGAAGAACATACAAAATCCACACAGACAGCCCCACAGGTCTGGAATTGAATGCAGGACCCCAGCACTGTGATGCTAACCTCTGTGCCACTGTTCTGTCTTCTATTAATACTATTAATAGAAGACAGAATCTATTAATAGATTAATAGATCTATTAATACATCAATACATTTTACATCTAGTAATCAAATATGTTACAAAGACACGTTGAGGGGGGTTTGATTACATGAATTTGATTACATGAATTGACTTTCCATCCTGATTGGAATGCCAGGCCAAAATGTATTTCTCTAAAGTAGTATATTTTCTGATTATTATATACTACTCACTCTGTAGCATATTGAAAAATGAGACAACCAATACAAAAAAAGGAAGAAGGATATGTTACTTTTGCACGGGCCTCCCGAGAAGCCTCTGCTTCAGCAGCCATAGCTCTCTGCAGTGACATTGGGAGTTTGACATCCTTGAGCTCCACTCTTTCCACCTTGATGCCCCAGTCCTTTGATGCATCATACAGCACATGCTGCAAAAGAAAGGACAGGAAGATGGAAGTGACAGCTGTTATGTCTGCTGAAGGCTTTGTTTCTGTTCATTCCAGAACCGATGTGGCCTGTGTGGATGTCCATACATCATCCTTAGGACATTAGGGACACGACACATTGTTTAGCTCAAGAGGTAAAACTGTCCGGATGCAAAGAACCAGAACAGAAGTGTTTCCCCCACTCTGCATTAGCGCTCTGCAGGAGAGAGGTGAGAAAATGAAAATCTGACTCTCTTAGAGGCTGTTAGTGCTTTACCTCTTATGTTACTCAAAAGATCTAAGACTCCCTATGCACCTTTGTTAATTGTTGAAAAGAACTGAATGATAAGAAGACAATAACTTATTGAATACGAAGACACAGTGTGTTGGTTTATATATACTTTTCCCAATTACCAGCACCCACTATGAGCTACTGCACATTCCTAAACACTGAGTCAGAAACTCTGAAACATATCCTTCCCATTGACCTCGGGGAATTGTATGGACTATATTGAAAAAACAAAAACATATCTATATAGAGAGAACCTACAGAGAGAAGTCATTTGAAAGCTTAGCCAAGCTTCTCTGGTTTATTGATAGACAACAGTATTCTCAAAGAAAACAGGAAATCCACTCATTCATTCTGTTGAAGGAGCTGTACTGCTTTTTTACATGGATTATAACACCAAGAATGGATATACATTTTAAAGAGTGGGGACACCACAGAGAGAGGCTGCCAAACATTCCTCTTTATTTAATCCCTTAATAATCAAATGCTCATGGACAGCATACTTCCAAAGAATTTTAATGGAATCAAACATTGAAAGTAGACCATATATATAATATAATATATTAATATTCTCTACTGTCTTCCTTAGTTATCACTGAGTTTTAGTTCCATGGAGTAGAACTCTTATTTTTGGTAATGTGTGTGTCAAGATTTCTCTCTTTCTACCAGGCAAGCACTGATTTCTAAATGTTCTTTTAAAAGTTGCCCTTTTGTGGCTTGTAGAGCAAGCCTAAAAGTTACTGTCTGAAATTCTACTTTAAAAATGTTAAAGGAAAAAATATTTTTCACTGTGCTATTTCAAGCCACTGCTATTAGAAAAAAAAGTAATATATTCGCTGTGCTATTAAAAAATACCATTATTAGGAGAGAGGTCACCACCTACTCTTCACCATTGAGTCTAAAATAAACAGCCCCCTCTCAGGAAGAGAGCTACACTCCTGTGTTGGTCCATTAGATCCAAGACAACTGTGTTTTATTGCAATTCCCACATGGGTCATCTCATTTCCCTAATTCATTATGTGAAGATCCCTGGGGAACAAGAACATAAAAACATAAATAAGGATACAAATAAAACAAGGCCATTAGCCCTTTCTGGACTGTTTGATATTATTTGATACTGGGGTACAGTATCATATTGATCCAAGAGACTCATCCTTCTTGAAGAAACATAAAAGCATGGGCTTCAACAACATGGCTAGGTAGCTTGTTTTGTATTCCACAGCTTACTATGTAAAGAATTGCCACCATTTCTTGGTTGTAAATGCAGTTCCACATTGGTTCCAACATTTTTCTCTGGTTCGTGTTTCACTTCATTTTTCATTTGCAAGAAACCAGCTGGGTTTACTTTGTTAATGCCTTTTAAGATTTTGAATACTGTACTTGAATTAGACCCCTCCTAGTCCTCTTTGTCCAAGACTAAAAAAGTTCCGTTCTTTCAACCTGTCGGACATTCCAACAAACTTATCTTGTTAACTTGTTTACTAGATATGGCTTTGTGGCCCTCTGGTGACTATACATGGAATTACAGTATTCATTTCTAAAGACCTTTTCACATAAGGTAATTGCAATTGGAAACTGACTTCTCACTGAAAATCTCACTCTTAATTTAAAAAATCATAATAAAAAATATTTAATCCAATAAAAAAAAATGTATCCAAAGACCCGTTGTATTTCTTCTGATAATGGTTAAATGTGTTTTACAAGCAAGTTCTTAATTTTGTTTATGTATCCAGAATATTTTTAGGAGTCTGGAAAAGTGAGATTCATTTTTCTTCTTTTATTTTCCTGATGGTTGTTGACTGAAAGGATTAGCAGTTTATTTGACTATACAGTATGTGACTTTATTGTTCTCTGTCGTTCTGTCTTACATTTTGCTCTGCTGTTTTTGCATGTATTATATGGAGGGGACATTCGAGTTTTAATTCTGTTGTGGGGTTAGAAATGTTGCTTGTTCTGGGATTATTCTCCCTCTTCCTGTAGTTCTCAGGGATGCTGCAGAGCCGAGTGTGAAGGTGTTCACAGTTAAAGAGCAAAATTAAGGTATATTTCTATCACTGTCATTTTATATAGTTATAGGTGATGACCTGGGGAAAACCTTACAGACAAAAACACTCCATTTTCAGTTTATACCCCTTCACATTTTCCATATGTTCATAAGAAATTTTATGTCTAATGTACAGTAGGACTGATGGAAAATATGGTGTTTATAACCATTTAGCCATAGTTTCACCTGATGTAAACCATACTACAGAAATGTTTTTTCTCCATCTGTTTTTTCTGTGGTTTGAAGTAAAGAAACAGTACCTACTGTATGTTGCAACCAGATCACCATTCATACATCTACAGATCTGTACTTACAGTATACATTATTATGTAAAAAGCTTTATGAAAGATAATTCTACTATATTTGCCTCAGAGGTGAACAAAACACATTTTAGTAAAATTACTGAATTAGGTTGGTTTTTCTAGAGCATGCTCAACAACATATATTGTCTGATGCCACCATATTGAAAACAACCCTATTAAAAATGAAAAAAGTTGCTCTTTAGTAAATTATAAAATTATATAAATAATAAATTGGGTCAGTGATGCTGATGCATTGAATTTCATATTACACAGTATATCTATCAAAACTGTGTGTGTATGTGGGGGGGGGGGGATTGTTTGTTTCATTGTTCTGGTTCAGAAAAGTTTTAATAAATAAAAAACTGGTTTGTGAAGAAAAGATTGGTTTGTGAGGAAAAGTCCTCACCTCCATCTGATCTGCCATCTCCTCTCGGTCAGTCAGTATCTCAGAAAGGTTCTTTGTCCCCAGCATGTTCCTCAGTGTTGTCTGAGCAAGCATCTTGGTAGCCTGGTCTGCATTCTCTACCTTCGTGATGGCAATTGAGGGGTTGAAGATACGATAGTACACAACAGCATCCACCATGATTGTCACAGAGTCTCTCGTTAAAACCTGTGAATAAATCAAAAAACAGGGGAAGGATTAAATGATATTAAATGATTTTAAATGATAACAATACAGTTTTGTTGTAGTACTACATTCCTTACTAAAGGACCACCCCAGTGTAATATTTCTAATAATAAAAAATATTATCAATATGTTATAATGTTGCATGTCCCTATATGGTACATATTCTACAATTTATTAAATTTTACAAAGCTACAGAATTACTTTGTGAAATAAACTTAAGAATTATGTGCCTAAAACTGGTTTAACAATAATGATAGTTAAAGCGAAATTAGAAGAGTGAAGCGATGAGAAAAAGGCATTTTAACTAATAATCTTTACAGGATTATAGATTCAAATATTTTTAGAAAACTACTTAAATCTTGTGATGAAAGACAGAAATTAAGACTAGATCAGAAGTAGGCAGACACACATCTGATGTCCCATTTCCGGAATGACAAATAATGCATTTCTTAAACAAATTTAAAACAAATTTGACACCTGAAGAAGGCTCCACGGCCGAAACGTTGTGTTCTCTTTCTTCTTGTTTTCAGAATGGAATAAACCTACTGTATTACTTGTTCCTTTGCAGCCTACGCATGCTGATGCAGCTACCCACCTGAACTTTATATATATATACAGACATATGATACAGTACTTCTCACTGGCTCAGGGTGGCCAACTCCAGCACTTGTCAGACTGTGACCCATAGAGATTTATACATTATACAAAGGACACAAGCTCATATGGCTCACTTTTTTATTTTTTAGTGGAAACACCTGGGCTAATTTGCTATAATTGAGATTGATCTTATTAAAAATCTAAATTTGTCTGGGAGCAATGGGAGCATACTCTCAGTTGATACTGGCATTTCCTGCTTGAAAGTGACATTTTAATTTCGTCCACACTAACAACAGAAAACATCTGTCTTCAGTACAGTAGGTTTTAGAACTGTAAGGTAATGTTGAGTTCAAACTTTGTTTGTTAAAGTTATTCCAAGTTAGGTTTTCAACTGGGTCAACAACTCCACCTGCTATACCTACCTAACTATAATTTGTTTACATAATAGTTAATCATTCTCTCATTTTAAAGAAATTAAACCAGCACCTATCTGTTGAAACTTAATTCTTCTGTGTCTAGTTTCAGTTACATTTTTTCAGGGGCTCATTTCTATGAGGGTTTATCACTGAAGTACATGTGTTCCATGTTAGGACCAAAAACTCAGGGCTTGAATACTAAACCCCCCCTTTACACTGTGTTGAGCCTCAAGATTTGGGAACATTGGTAAAATGAAAGAAATAGCTATTGCTACAGTACATCTTCAGTACCTACTTTATAGAAAATGAAGTCCAAATCTAGGGACATATGGCCTAAATGGTTTACTAAGTGTGAGAGCTTTACAGGCTACATAAAAGACCCCAAGATTCAAAATAGAAAACACAAAATAATTTACTGAGCTGGAAAAACATATAAGAATTGCTAAGAGGGAGACAAAAAAGAGTATTGTATATTGTTATTTCAGAGGCAAAAAATAATGTATGTTTTCAGTATTACAACAGTAAAACATTGTTATTGTAGAGAGTAAATTATTTTAATCAAAAGGTGTTAAAATAGAAAATGATAAAGATAGATTAACAGACTAAATTAATATAACAAAGGTTTTTCCAATAGAAGATTACATAACTGACAATGAGGTTCTACAGGGGACGGGGCAGCTAAAACGTTAAATCACTGGATCCAAATGGTTTTATCCCATTAAACTCAAGAAAACTAGGGATGTTACTCATACACCCATATCTAGGATATTTCACATACATGTACAATAGGAACAGTACCCACCACAGCTTGGGGACTTGGAAATGTATCACAAGTTTATAAAAAAGCAGGAACAAACTGAACCAGAACAACTATAGAACAATTAGTCTTAATTAATTTACAGGTAAACAATTGGAAATGGCATTTTAAACTAAATTATAAGATGTTTAAAACAAAAGATTAATACAATGTTTTTTAAGAGCCAGTCAACATGGATTAAGAAGAGGGAGGTTTTGTTAAACCATCATGCTAGGACTTATAAAGCAAGTAGCAAGGATAGTAAACAAAAGCATAAACTTAGATTTCTAGAAAGCTATTGATAAAGTCTTTCATTTAAGGAAGATTCTCAAGCTGAACGTGTAGTGAATGTAGCACATGGATCAAGAACTGGCTAATGAACAGGAAACTGTGTCACTTTAAGGGTCACAACTAATTGGGCAGATAGGAGTGATGTGGTGCTATGGTTTAAATGTGATTACAATTTGTTACACTTTCTGATGAGAAATTACCAATGAATTACAGATAGGGTGTGGGATCTACATCTCTTCACAAAAAGGAGATTAATTTCATTCTGGTACTATATAGAGGGAGGAGCTGTCATGATGGAGAGGGGGGAGTAGGGATAAATGTGAGATGAAGTGTGAAAAAGAGAGATTTGTGTATTATACTGTATACAGTATATACATCTATCCCTTGATTTATGCAAGCTTCAAGAATATATATGTTATTTATGCTTATATGTTGTTTATTTTATAAATTATGGCACACTACTGTACATGGGATATTACAGTTTAACATTGATTTAAGTTATTGTTTCTAAAAGTACTATTTATGATAATTAGTAGTTTGTCTTTGTTTATGTGAGTGTTGTTATTTACAACACCTACCATTCATCGTATAACTGTTAATAGCAAATGTTCAAACAGCACTTAATAATGAATGTGTGCTTGTAAATATTGTGGGGTGTATTTGGAGCATTTACAGGTAAAAATGTGTGGAGGTTATGGGGTCAGGAAAGCATTACAATTTTCCCCCATATTAATTAATGGTAATTAAGTATTTAATTTATGAGTTTTCTTTATATGAGGATTTTTTTTTCAGGAATGCATTAAGCTCATAAATCGAGAGATAGGTGATTATATACAGTTTCTTTCAAGAAATGACACAAGCTATGGTTATTACAGCTAAGGCAAAAGTGGTTTTGTTGTTAATCCTTCTGAACCATCAATTCCATATATAAGATCCTATAGAAACATAGGGCTAACCCAGGGGTGTATGCAGTCAGTATACATTCAGTACTGAAAGGTAAGCATTGGAAGGTCACAGTAACTAAGAAAAGGGTCACAGTTGGAATCTAAACACAAATATTTAGGATGGAGAAGAGGAAACACTCTGTGCACAAAGAGTTGTGGGTAACCACCTAGCCAGGTGGTTAAAGCTAAATCTCCGGACATCTTTAAGAAACAGCTGAATGAAATTTTAATTTCCCTTTCAACTTGTTCAATCAAGTAATCGCCCCCTCCTGTTTGCAACCTTTGTTATGCTTTGACTGACACACTGTGATGACCTGGCTGTGTGTTGCGTAAGTAATCAGGCAGCTGGGATGAATGACAGGCAATTGAAGAGTAAGTTGCAAATGAAGCAGACAGGGAAGCCTGCAGTAGCTAGAACAGGCCGAGCTCAGTTTGCAAGCACAGAACACTGATTAAGGGATTAAACAGGCTCCTGGTCAAAGTGCAAAGTGCAAAATGCAAAGTGCAGAGTTTGGTAATAGATAATCAGAACATAATATCAAGCCGAAGGGAAAATCCAAAATCTAGGTCAAGAGTGCAGGCAGAAAGTCAGAAAACAGGAAGAACTGAAAAGAAAGACTGAAGCACTGAAAGCTGGTGAACAGACTCAATGTCAGAGAGCCAAATGCAAACGGATAAGATTTAAATAATCCTGTTGGCAAGATTAACCGGGGGCTAATGAGGAAGGGCAGCAGCTGGTTGGAGTTCGGCAGGCAATGGGCCGATGAGCCCCAGTGTGGGCTGACCCAAGTGTGACACACACTGTAAAGCGGAACACACTAAAATAACAATGGGTCAGATATGACAGGAAAACAAGAGCAAAATATAATTATTGTTTGACTTTTACTGCAAGAACTACTCGACTCAATCCTAAGAGACCACAAACACCTCCGATAAAAAAACAAATGCAATTTGTATGTTTGCAGGTTTAGAGCTGAATAAAGATAGTTCAAGGCCAAAGTTCATAGATTATTAGGAAGATGATCATCCAGGAGAGTATAAAAGCTGAGGATATTGCTGAGGTACACATACAGTATCATCATTAACAGCTCCTTTCAAGGCCATCCCAAGATCTCCCCTCACATCTCCATCATTACAATCTGCTATTGTTATCATCTTTATTTTCCTTTCTGTAAGGTGTCACTGTTGGACCCTGCTGTTCTCTGAGGTCAAGTCAAGACTCACCCTGTGGTCCACATGGGTCCTAATGCCCTAGTATAGTGATGGGGAGACTATACTGTAAACAGGTGCGTCCTTCGGATAAAACCGAGGTCCTGACTCTCTGTGGTCATTAAAAATCCCAGGGCGTTTCTCGAACAGAGTAAGGGTGTAACCCCGGCGTCCTGGCCAAATTTCCCTTTGGCCCTTACCAATCATAGCCTCCTAATAATCCCCATCTATGAATTGGCTTCATTACTCTGCTCTCCTCCCCACTGATAGCTGATGTGTAGTGAGCGTTCTGGCGCACTATGGCTGCTGTCGCATCACCCAGGTGGATGCTGCACATTGGTGGTGGTGGAGGGGAGACCCCATTACCTGTAAAGTGCTTTGAGTGGAGTGTCCAAAAAAGCACTATATAAGTGTAAGCAATTATTATTATTATTATTAAGTCCAGAATCTCTTGGTTTGAGATTGTGTCTAGAGAACTGTCATTTGAATTCCTTCTTTCAAACAACAATCATAAACCCTTGGTTGTCCCTATATAAAATATCTTATTCTACAGCTTCTGAATATTGGTTATGCTTACTTCCTGTGGAGGGATATTGAATGATACTGTCCTCAAATCAACTCGACGGAATGTGTCCACACAGGGGATGATCCAGAACATTCCTGCAAAAAAAAAAAAAGATTTCAATGAAATTAAATCTAATTTGTAAAATATTCTGTATGCCAGGAAACTGCTTTAGTGTAGTGTAACTTCAGATTACCTTTTAAAAACACAGAATTAATTTATACCCTCCCAGTTTTGAATTTCTAATAGTTGTTTGTCTTGGCCTGTCCATTTTAATTGCAGCAACATGGACGGGGCAGGAGGATAACAGTATTCTGCAAGATGCCCCTGCTACACCAGGAACACAGTGATGCATCCTAAACTAGCAACACTACAGATTCACAGGTACCCAGCAAGTCTCTGGGGTAGCTGCTGCATCATAAACCCAGGATACCCCAGCACCACAAAACTAAAATATGCATCACCACTTTGGGATTCCTGGATTCATTAGCTGACTAATGATGCTACACAGGCCCACAATAGCAACACTCGAGCTCTGGAGCTCAAGCTATACAATGTTCAGCCAATGTAGTGTTATCATTTTTTGGCAGTTGTAGTAACTGTGAACCATATGTATTTTTGCAAGATAGACAATTTCAAAGCTGAATTGTCATCCATTAAAAGTAACAGTGGTGAACAGGGGATATCTTCCTGTAGTATCTTAATTAAATGGAATTAGGTAGATGCATTAAAAATGTTCTGTGGGATTACAGAAAATTCATCACATTAATTAATTATTTTATTAATTAATTCATTGTATTAAATCAAAACCCAGGCAGACAAAAGTATTAATCCATAGCAACACGTGATATTGCCTGAATCTTTATGAAGTCACATCTTCCACACAGTAATTCCAACCGTGAATAAAAGTCCCTGATTGAAATCCTCATAGTTACAACATGTGGGTCCTCCACTTCAGAGTTGACAGCACTTTGGCTAATCAAAGTTGAACCTGCTTTACTGAGGAGTCAAAATGACTCCCAATACTGTCCACATAGAAACAAAATGTGGCGTTCTTCAGAAAGAAAAAAGATAATAAATTATGCAGTATATACCAGGTCCTTTGGCTCCTCCTTTGCTTATCCTCCCAAGTCGAAAGATGACAGCTCTCTCATACTCTGCCACAATCTGGCCAGAAAGAAAAAGCTGTTGTCAATATTTTCTCATCTTCAAGCTTCCCTTTATAGACTTGAACATCCTATGAACATACTCCTATCCCACAGCCCAACCTCAGAAGAGGGAATTAAGTGCAGTCACATTTGTCCTCGCCATCCATGCATAATCCAGGTTTTAGCTTTTATTCATCAAACCAAATGAGCAGATTTAATTTTTAAACTTGAACATGATTAATTGCTGGCATTAGACCCATTAATTTACAAGGATGTAGATTTGTCATTGGAGGCCTTCTGTTGGAACATTAAGAAGTGTTTAAATTGATTGAGCAAAGCATTTGTTTTTCATGTTTAATGTCACAACATTAGACATGAAAGGTGGCTTTGGAGGCCCCTCTGCTTCATTTGGCTTCCAGTTTAACACCACGTGGTTTGATAATTACAGTATATCAAAAGCACATACTTCTTTGTGTAAAGAAAACCCTCACAGTACACTGTGAAATTCTTTTCACTGAGCAAGCTTAATCAATTTCCTTTCACCAGACAGACTATGGTAGTCACTCACATCCACAGGTCTATATTTCAGGCTAAAAGGTTTCTTTAGGTTGAATTGTCAAGTGTCTTTCCACATGAAGAATTATCCTGGTTAACCATCTTTCACTCTTTTTAATATCACAACAAATTCAGGTTCACACCTGAATTCAGTGCTCTACCAAGAATCCACTAGTTTCAACATCTCATCTTTTCCTTGAACATGATGAACAGTTTCTCAAAAAGCTGTCTAAAAGAAATCATTGCTGGGTCAACAAATAAAAATAGCATTACATAGTATTTAATTAGACTGTTATTATTAATTTACAGTGTTTTAGGTCATTTAAAATAAGTAATTTAAGTTGAAGTAATTTTAAAATATACTAATACATTCTGGGTGTTTTAATACTTTAATAAGATTATCTACATCTATCTTTGTTCACAACCAGATAAGGGTTGTTTAAATAAGGGAACAATAATGTTAATTAAGAAGATTGGACAAAACATAGTACATGAAAACAACAAAACATATTTCCATAACAACAGTGTTGTGAGGTACTGTAGACCTGGGAACCGTGGCAGATGTTCTCATTTTTTAATGGCGTCACCCTATACTAATTATTCTATTTACAGTATCTACAAAATGAACCTGTGAATGCTGAAAGGACTACAGTAAATCTAGCACTTTTTCCATACTATGTATAACAATAACTTATCTTAAAAGTGTAATAAGAACAAACTGCAAACTGTATTCCTCATAATATTCAAAATAAGAACATCAATGATAAAACTGTATTTTCTCATAATCTTTGCAAGGCACTACAGTATAGATTTTGTTCCTGGGCATTGCAAGGTTTTGACATGATCAGGCTGCACTTACCTTTATGCAAAGCCAGATCGAAATTGGAAAAGTCAGGATAATTAAAAGAAAAGAACAGGCTATCAGGATTATTCCACAGCAACCAACACCACCTGCTCCACCATCTGCATACAGTAAAATCATGTTAAGACAAATATTATAGCACAGTTCTTCTACACCTCATTTATCTATGTTCTTCAAGCTTAGATCACTAAGCAACACATTTGAATTGCAATTTTCAACACATCGAAAATGTGGAATGGAATTTCCTTTACTCAATTTCCCGTATACAATGCCTTAATCACTGGCTTATTTATTGACTTACTGACAGATTTCTATAATTCTAAAATGTGCAGTCTTTCAATCTTGATCATCTCTTGTGTCTGCAATCAATAAACAAAAGTAAGATAAGCTTAAATGGTTCATAGACACAATAGATATGACCAGCGGTTTATTGAAATAAGTTAAGGGAATCAGATTTGCTCTCTCAATGTTGCCAGTTATTGGAGTCTTTATAATTACAGTAAATGTACTAATTCTGAAGATCTTATCATAACTGTAATTTTGTTTTTTTTTTCTAAATAATCCAACCATACATTTTCACACTGCTTGTCTCGTGAAAGCCACTGCACTTGTATTGCAGCAGAAAAAAGGTTTGTAAGTGGTCAGTTTTTCTTTGACTTCAGTACTTTTATTGTTGTTCACTGCACCTGATGCAGATGTTATATGTACATTTTTATACTGTACAATTAATAATTATGTGCAACCAATGATTATCTACAGAAGTTCAAGTAGGTACAGTAGCTGCATCAGCATGTGTAGGCTGCAAAAAGGTTTATTCCATGCTGAAAGAAAAAGAAAAGACAACAATTTCATCATGGAGCCTTCTTCAGGTGTCAAGCTGTGAAACGCGCTGTCTCTTTTCTTTTCCTTTCATGGTGGAATAAACCTGTACTTGTTCCAATCATTATCTATGCCTATTGTTATAATGTTAATGCTGTTATGTACAACCAGACTTTCAATTTTTACACCATAGTTTATCCTCTCATCCTGGCCACTAGCCCATTGAAAAAAAATTCTCTAATGTTGAAATATCCTTCATGAATGTCTGGCTTTGATGAGATCATTTTGCATCTGAGCTCAAAGAAGTGACTGAAAAAAAGCATTGTTTTTTGGTTCAAAAGCTCTCTTCTGTGCTGTAAGATTATTTTCATGTGTTGCTAACAAATTTGAAGATAAAGTACAATTCATTATACAGTACATTCATTACGTTTTGTTTTAATGTGTGATGTGCGCTACGGTTGATTAATTTAGGAGCTGCTATTAATAAATCAAAATCAAGTAGGATTTAACATTTAAGGCTGAAATCAAGACTTAAATTACTTTTTCAAACCATCCTGAACTGTACGGTAACATTGTCGGATTTACAAAGCAGAAATGTTTTTTCTTAACAAATAAATCAATTTATAATTGTGGTTATGAGTTGCAGACACTGGGTGCAGTGAGAACACCTCAGGTAAGGCAGGAAGGTCTGCACCCACCTAGGATTCAGTCAGAGGTGTTTACTTTGTCATGAAACAAACAAGGTTCTCTTGCTTTTGCTCCATTAGTCCTCAATAGCATTAATATATGTGTTCACATTTTATGGAAGAAATTACCTTCATAATTTTCCACCCTTGCTCTCCCGTTGTCTGCAGCTTCTATGTTTCTTGAGTGTTGCTTTTCCATTTCAGGTTCCACTTTATTGACTGACATGAACAAATGTATTTTCCTACTAAAATAATGGGTTACCTTTCTGTTACCTTGACTCTGACTGTTCTCCAAAGAACTGTAATGTGTTCTAGGAAAGGAATGGGCCAGGTGCCCATAGCTACCCTGT